TTTAGCATTTTCCCGCCGGGTTACTGTCGCACTCGTTTCAACTGTTTCCGGTTGTTTACGCTTGCAGATATTTGTTTACAAACATCGCATACACTTCGACTCGACCTTTTTTTCTCTGACAAGGATAATAGAATCCAATTTTTCAAATTTACTACAGTGCTCCTCTCAAAAATCAAGCATTTCAAAAATTTCAAAAATGGTGTTATTACTAAAAGTATGCAAAAATGAAACTCATAAGTTCCAACCGTTTCCACTTGTAAGTTACGCACTAAAAAAACTCATTTCAACGAACCACTTTTAAATTTTCGGATAAATTCAATGGTAAACATAAACACAACTTTGAAGAATACTTTATTTTCCGTCCTCTCTTTGAACAGCTGATTTAGGCCACCAATGATTTTTAGAGTTATGTTTTCCTATCTGGATGTTTATCAACTAATGATTGCTGATTGCTCTCTAGAAATCAACTATTACGTTGTTGTTTTCTCTATCAAACTATTCCGGTAGTTTGCCGCCAAACTTCGTTCTCTTTTCCCTATGCTCTTGTGGTTTCAAAAACTTACAGTATCCTTTGATTAGCTATCCAAAACTTGGCTCCGCCCCATACTACCGTATACCTGGTTTTAATTAAATTTCTGGAGAAGAGAAATTATACACCTAATAAATGTTTTTTTCCTTATACTTTTTATGAGGCAGACCCACTCCTTCCTCCAATTTCCAATCCGATAACGGTTTACACGCGATCCCGTGAAGGCGGACCCAATATTCACTTCTGCCATTTCTTCCTGGATTGAGCAGATGGAGTAGCACCCTCCAAAATCTCTGGAAACTCAATGGATTTTTTCTCTCGAGAATCGGATAGAAATATCAGTTTTCAAGAGATGTCCATTGTAAATCAGATTGTTTTGTGGTGTATTTTTGCATTCCAACTCTGCTGCCTTTCTTTCGATGTCATCATGCTCCTGGCCACGTGGAAAAATCGTAAAAACAGCGAGTTACTTTTAGTACTGTATTTCAAGCTCATAAACGGGACTTTATTTTTTTCACGTCTTCACTCTTTCTCAGGTCCCAGGGATGTATGGAACAGAATTCGGAACTCCGAAAATCTAGGAAATTCTGATCGGAATATTCCCGAAGATTTTTTTTAGGAATTATAAATTTTGGACTACGGTATGTCAAAAGAGGCGTAAAAGTTTTGCTTTCCGGTCTCCAGCAGAATCACTTTAATTTTTGCGTTTTCGAAATTGTTTCGTCAATTTTTCAATAGTTTTTGTGAATTACAATTTTTAAATTTGAGTGTTAAAAATTTTTTCAATAATCGGAATATTCCGAAATTCCAAATTTCTAAAAACCAGGAAACTCCAAAATTCCAAAGTTTAAAAAATCGGAATCTTCCAAAACTTTAAAAATCGGAATACTCCGAAATTCCAAAAATTTAGAAAAGGCCTTGCCAAACATT